CCCCTCTAGCATTTGAAGTAATGTGTTGAGTTTTGCCCCCCACAGAAAGGATGTGGACAAATTGGAAAGTCCAGCGGAGGGCAACAAAAATGGTGAAGGGTCTGAGGCACGTGAGTTATGAGGAGAGGCTGAGGGAAGTGGGCTTATTTAGTCTAGAGAAGAGAAGACTGAGGGGGGATTTAATAGCAGCCTTCAACTACCTGAAGGGGGGTTTGAAAGGATGGAACTAGACTCTTCTCAGTGGTGGCAGATGACAGAGCAAGGAACAACTGTGTCATGTTGCAGCAAGGGAAGTTTAGGTTAGATATTAGGAAGAGTTTTCTCACTAGGAAGGTAGTAAATACTTGAACAGGTTACCCAGGGAGGTGGTGGAAGCTCCATCGTTGGAGGTTTTCAAGCCTTGTCTAGACAAAGCTTTGGCTGGGATGATATAGTTGGGGATGGTCCTGCTATTCGCAGGGGTTTGGACTAGATGACCTCCTGAGGTCCCTTCCAACCCTAATTTTCTATGATTTCTATGATAACCTGGTAGATCCTGATCTGTAGTTTGGACCTGTCACTGGATCTTTCATTGTGGTCTGTATAATCCAGATCCTCTTCTTGGTCCCCATGTTCCTCATCATCTCAGCAGCAGTCAACCACTACTGATGGATGTTACTGCTTTGCTCACATGACCCAACTCAGGCAGTTGTACTAACACTACAATGGCACCCATCATCCATTACTCTACAGAACCGAGACATGATGAGCAGATGTTCTTCTAAGCTCTCATCTGCAGTCTCTTGAGGATCTAGCATGCTTCCCTTCTTTTATAGTATCTCCATTAGGCCACTGCAGAGACAGAAATCCATCACAGGCCCTAAAGAGCCGAGGGCACTAACACATAATGTTGGGAAGAAAGGATAGGAAGTGTGACAGAAGAGCAACCTGACCAAACACTTCATTGAATTGAAACTCAGCAAGGAAAGGTTAGATGGAGGATGGTAATAGACCAGGGATGGACAGTTATTTGGACTAGAAAGCCAATGAATACGTTTTGTTGAGCTATTGAGGGCTGGGGGGGAAGAGGTGCAGCGAGATGCTAATTGATCCTATCCTGCCTGCCAACAGCAGCCTGAGGAGGGAGGGTTGTGCCCCACACTGCTTTGCTGTGCTGCAGCTGGGGCCGGATCCAGGGCCAGGCTTGCACAGTGCAGCACATAGACTCCTCCACATCCCAGCAATCCACCTCCCACCCAGCTTCTTGTTATGCTGCACAGTCATTGCACTGTGGCTGCCAGCAGCGGGGCCCCACATGGGACGGGTTGCAATGCAGCACGCCGAGTAGCCATCCCATCTGCCTGCTGCAATGAGACGTTGCCACTACACCTTACCACCAGAAATTCAGTGGAAGCTGCCCCAGGCTGAGTCTTTCCCATGACCAGCATAAACTCATTTAGCAGTGCCGTGATGGCAGCAGTTCATTGCAGCAGGTGGGCAGGACAGCTACTCGGTGCGGTACATCTCACCCCGTCCCATGCGGGCCCGGCTACCAGTGGCTGTGGTGCCAGAACTGTACAGCTGCAGTGCAAACAGGAAGCCAGGTGAGAGGTGCAGTAGTGGAGGAGTCCACGTGCTGAGCAGCCTGGCTCAGCCCTTGTTAAGGCGGAGTAGAGCTGCACAGGGTGCAGCCTTCCTTTAGGCTTCCAGCAGCAGCTGGTGGGCTGGATAGAAGCAACTAGCAGGCTGGATATGGCCCGCAGGCCATATTTTGCCCACCCCTGTAATAGACTGTTCTGTTGCTGCAGGTGACAGGACAAGGAGTAACGTTCTTAAATTACAACAGGGGAGATTTAGGTTGGATATTAGGAAGAACTTTCTATAAGGATGGTTAAGCCTTGGAACAAACTACTTGGAGAGGTTGTGGAATCTCCATTCTTTGAAGTTAGTAAGAGCAAATTACACTAATGCTTTGACTGGCATAGTTTAGACATAAATGAACCTACCTTGAGCCAAGGGGTTGGACTAGATGACTAGATCCTGAGGTCCCTTCCAGACCCACATTTCTATTATATTATTTTCCCATCTTTTTCTAATGACCTCAGAGGACAGTGCCACCAGGGTGAAGAGCAACTGATAGAACAGGAAAAAACTGAAACAACTGAAGGAGGAAATAATAGAAAGAGGCTGGTGATCCACCTAGTTCTGTTTATCAGTTGGTTCAAAGCTTCATAGTTCTGTCCAAATCATTACTATACCCGGATAACCTCCAAAGTTCTATAAATTAGTAAATAAAAGCAACACACACATATGCTTTTCAACCTGTTAGGAAACATGGTGCCTTTTGCCCTTGTAAGGAGCTGGCCAATGGTAGAGTCGCTTTTTGCCTAAATTGGATTGTCAAACTCAGTTGCTAAAAATGAAGACTACAAAACAGAAGAGCCAGCTTGTGCAGAATGTTACGTCACATCCATTATCTCAACAAGAAAGGATTCCATGAGCACATATGCCTCCTGGGCACTATTCTCGCCTGCAGCTCCCAGTTAAAGACAAGGGCTCAAGAGGTAATCTCATTTATGTATATGATCTACACCAAGACCTCTTGGAGAGAAAAATTGACAAAACACAAAACAAAACAAAGAACCAGTGTGGCAAAACACTACTGGGTCAGAGAGTTTGATTATACAATGAACTTCCACTGTAAATCTAATCAATTCTGTATTTCAGCTACTTGGCAATACTGTATATAAAAAACTATATATGAATACATCCAAGCAAAACGTAACTCCATGAAGCCCAACAGATACCAACCATACTGACCTAAATTTTTCTCTGCAGCACAAACGGATCAAGTCAAAACGGACTTGGGGATTGTAACGTCCAATGTTGCAAAGTAGAAATTGCGAAGTGAACCAAAATTGAATCCAGAAACATCAGTTAGATACCTGGACTCCCTACCTATTGCACAGAAGAAGTTACAGTGGGATTCAGAATAACCTCTGGTGAGCTGAATGCTGAAGATAGTCATGCATGTCACAGACTCGTTCAGGGCTGCAGTGGTGTTCCTGCCTCCTTCTAGGGTTCGTAATGAATGTAGACTAAAGTCCTTTCTTTCCCAAAATAAGCAGAAATCACTCTCTTCTTTTAAACACCTTATTGGAGCAAGAACCCCTATTTTACAACATTTGGGTGGTTTGAGCTCTCACCTCATCACTAGGCTATAGATCAGGCTCCCTCTTAGTCCCGCAAAGCTGGACTTCCTTTCTGACTGGTAACCCTATTTCAATAGGAGTGGAGAGTGGCCCCATCCTAGAATAGCAAATAGCTTGGCGGGTAGGCACTCTCCACCAGGAGATGCTAGTCTGAATCCCCTTAGATAGGGGAAGGAGCCAAATACTGGTACTTCCTAGGTAAGGGCTCCTCCCATTGGCTATAAAAAGGATTGTGGTGTGTTAAGGCACTTCACACTTGGCCCATTCTGGTAGGCAAGATTGGAGAAAGCCTGTTGAATCAAGCTGCCCAGGGGAGATAGGCAGAAGAACATCTAGCTTCTGGATGCTGGGCAGCCTTAAGCACCACACTACTCAGCCCTGGCAAGACACAATTACAGGATTTTATGGTGGCAAGATGCCACAGGTTGTGGTAGCAGTAGAATGTGCCAAGGCAGATTTCAAAACTGATTTTGTACCTAGGCCCAGGTAAGTGTTTTTTGTGACTGTCTTTGAGATACTATACTATCAGGCATTACAGTAGAGATAAGACAGCTGAGAAGACCCAATACTGTAAATACAGTAAGTGTGCTAATAATTAGATAATGCTGCATGCTATAAGATTTTCATAGTTTGGTCTGTCGGCCATCACAGTGGTCCACGGCAGGACCGAAGCAACACAGGCTTAGGAGCTGGGTGAGTAGCAGGGAATTGAGAGAAAGTCTCCCAGGTAGCAGGTCACAGAATGAAGTACACGGTGCTCTCAGAAACCTGGGAGTCATCATTTCCTACCTACAGAAAGGGGCCTCCAAATCTTTCATTCTGTTAATCATTGGTAAAAACAAAAACAAAAAAACTATGCTTGTTACAGACAACAGCCCTTCACCATGGTCCTCTGAAAATTTTAGTGCTCATTTGGAGCTGCAGGCAAGTGTATCCTGTGCCTACAATGCTAAATGGGCACTACCAAAGAGAGGCCAAGGCAGGCAGCGGAGTTATTGGAGGGAGAGAGTGATGATGGCTGAGTCACTTCTGAAGTTACAGTGCTAACAGTTCAGGCCCCTCTGCCTATGGCACCCAGTGGGTCCTATCCAGGGGCAACTGCTATATCACTGATGGCAAAGTATACAACAGTAGCTTATATGATGTGACAGTGGAAATCTGGGTTAGCATCTTATAGCATTGCTACAAGCTCAGGTACGGAGCTGGATTCCAGCTTTTTTCACCACCTAAGCAATAAAACATGCAGCCTTCTAGGGTAAGTACAAAGGAGTTTATTATCTTGGCTCTGACTTGCTCTGTGGTCCTGGCTTAACTACTGATTTTATCACACCACCTATAAAAGGAGTTAGGAAGGCTTATCTACCTCACTGGCATAGTGTGACTATGTTGCTCCAGTGAAGCAAGGCCCTACATTTACCTTCAGTATTCATCTGCTGGTAATGTCAGTTTCTGGAAGTTGTATCCAGTCAGTTGCAAAGTATGTTCTAGGTATCAGTGGATGGAGTCCTATCAATTTTGTAGGAAATTAAATATAAAAAGCACCTGATTTCCACCAAGAAAATTGTTATGCCTATTGTGGGGGACTGATGGTGAATCAGAGCCCTGAAAGCTTCCTCTGCCTGCACCAAAGGGGCATTATGTGAGCCTGATTTTATTGGAACTCAGGTTGCATGAAGCCTTTTGCCTCACTTTTTCAGCTAGGTTTTCTCCATTTCTCCTTCTGCCAGCACCCCTTTTTTCCTCCTTTGATGCTTATGGAGCAACTACTTGGTATATCAGTGTTTTTCCTCAGCTACTGGATATTGTGAAAAGAAATCACTTCTTGTGGGTAGTGAGACCTTTGGACAGAAAAGCGGTATGATCTTGACTCTGACTCCACATGTGGCTTTTGGCTAATGGTTGATTTGTTGCTCCACTTACTAAAGCAAGGATGATGATTACTGTCTTGCAGATATGGTAAAACGGTTTGTCAACTGCTTTGAAAATTAGGAAGGCCACAAATACGAAAGCACGGTAAGTTTGGGAGCTCAGAATCCAATGCTGGGTCTGAATGCGATGCTGGGTTTGCAATGGTTAGATGTAAAGTAGTTTTATTTTTTCAGGTGAAAAGTATGCATCTTAAGACAGACTGCAGCCAGGTCTTGATTACTGTTCCGGAGTGTGCGCCTAACTGCTCCATTTGATACCTGATATTAAATACTATTTCAAATATAGCCACTAGAATGGGCAGAATTTAATTTGACTTCTCAAAATTTGAGCACTTTTAGAAAACTAACAGCATTTAGGGAAATCTGTTGCTGCTAGTCTCAAGGTACTCTGTTAAAAGCAAAAGTTATAGTATGACTTGCAAGTGTCTATTTTTCCACTGTAATGGTGGAAAGCAAACAGGAGCCAATGTTGGGTACAAAGCAGTATTTATATATTTATTTATATCGGTATATTTACCTCCAGCATAAAACATAAGTCTAGATAAGCCAAACAAAAAGTTGGGGAGTCCTGAGAGCCAGCACCCCAAAATTCAGCAAAATATAAATACAAATCAAAGAGAAAAGAGGGAAGCCAGGCTTTCCCCCAGAGCAAAAAAAAAACAAATAATCATTAATAACATCTGCTAAGAATGTAACTCTACAAATCTGCTGGCAATATACAGTGATTAAAGCTGTGACAGCAACACTTAAACCAAACAAATTAGTGCTTTAACTTTTTCCTTAATCTGTGCAGTGGTGGCAGCGCAATTTCTATTTACAGGCTTTTAAGCTTTAACAGGAGGCCAAAAGGCTTATGAATTTGCTTTTGAAACAAACTCCAAAACAGCCAAACTTCAGAAAGTGGCTCTGTGTTCACACTTTTCCTCCCAGCCAAGGATGTCTAGAGAGGTGGAGCTTCAGGTTTCCAGAAACAGAGAGAAAGGAGCTCCCTGCTTGCAAGGCTGGAAACAGTAGCTCAGAGCTCCCTCATGCAGGGAAAGGCCTGATTGTTAACTCTTGCTGTTACTATTTTCAAATGGGTGAAAACATCTCTTGCTGCTGGTGAGTAAAGCAGAGACAACTTTCTCTGGTGGTCTCTACAGAGCACAATCATTTCTACAGACTGATGCCATCACGTGGCATTTTACCTGCTAACAAATGTACCGCACTTCTGTGAGACTGGTTCCTACTTAGCTGACATACCATTCTGTCACGGCTGACAAGATCTGTGTGTAGTTTGTAAATTACTTTTAGGATGAAAGGTGCTATAGAAATGTAAGAAATCATAAAAGCACATTTGGAATCCGTTTTTACTGCATCTTGGAAATACCTAAGATGTTAGCTAACCACTGCCATGTTTGCTTTAAAATGGTTTGGAGTAAGTAGGACTCACCCCTAGATTTTAATTATTGCCTTGACCTTTGGAAGGGGAAGTGAACACAGTACTGAGAAACTAACCAGCCATCCTTGTTGAGCCATCCCAGAGCATGTGTTACACATCTCACCAGCTGCCCCTACATATAGGTCATGTTGGCAAGAAAAGGTGCTGGAGAAGTTACTGCAAGCGTTCAAAACTGGCATTGGATGAAAGTACTGACTGATTCTATGCTGGAGCACCAGGGGATACTGGCACTGCATCAGCACACTTCCACCAGCATGCAGCTTTCCACCACTGATATTCAACTTCCAGTGATTGCCCCCCCAGCAGGTGCCTTCCTTTGTAGAGATGTGAAATGCACCTGTGGATCCTCCTAACTGCTATCAGCCATTCCCTCTGAGAACACCACTGGGAGGAAGGGAGGGGATTGTTTGGTGGTGATTGCAGTGTCTTCAACCCTGGTCCCAACAGTGTGTAAGGACAACTCTGCCTTTATTTAAAGTACAGGCATTCAATTCCACTCTGTTCAAAACAGAGAGGAAAAATACTGGCTGAACACGATAGTGTTAACCCTCAATTGTGTGGTCCCAGCACAATATATGAGATTACTCACTTGAGCAGGTGTTTGCAAGATTGGGGCCACTGATTGCCAAATAGTGAACAAAAGCTGCCACACAAGAAATTTCCCAGCTTAAGGCCAAGCAGAGTTCAAGGCAAGCAGGGGAAATAAATGTAAAAGCATCAAGTGTCTTTTCCAGAGTTGCATTGGAGAACTTTGTAAGCTGCTGACAGGATCACAGAGTCCTATTAAGAATGGAGCAGTGACTGTGGGCATATAGGGGCCTTCTGTTCTTCTCTACTGTGATGCCTGGAGTAGCACAGGCCTGCCCTAGTTGCCACATATTCAATACTCACTCTCTTGTTCCTCCCTGTCAGTGTTTAAGTGCATTTTAGTAAATAGATCATTACTCTACAGTTAACAGAATTCTGCTTTCAGGACCAGAGTGGGAATTGAAAGCCAGGGCTGACCCTTAGGAGAGTTGCCCTCTGACTCCCACTGAAGTAGTCAGGCATTGCAGACTTGGAGAGAAACAACTGGATCTCCTGCTTGTTTCTTATCCCCCAAATAAACTAGTGCCCCCATCCCCCTGTTTTATCTGTAGTAAGTTAGAGGGTATTTTTGATGTTTTGGGCATTATGCCTGGTTGGTTGTGTGAGGGTTTGTTCCTGGAGATGTTAGTTCTTGTCTAGGCTGATTAGACAAGGATGATCCTGCCTTGAGCAGGGCGTGGGACTCCTGAGGTCCCTGGCAGCCTAACTTGTCTATGATTCACAGCTGGGGCAAGAGGGTGGGGAGGTTCCTGGAGTCCATGTAGGGACCATTTCTACATTTGGCCAAAAAGTGTGCAGTTGTTTTCCTGCAGCAACAGTGCCAGCTGGTGGTGAACCAAAGTAACTTGAAGCCATGCACTTTTTCCAGAGGTGTGACCTGAGCCAGCAGTTGGATGGCTGAGTTTGTCTTTACTAAAGGCAAGGGATGGTAATCAATGCCCCTGCCTTAGTACCTGGCCCCTGACACAGGTGACCATCCCGTTTGGTTAAAGCTGCCTACGTCAGGTGATGAGACTGTGCCACAGGTAAGACTGTCTCTCCTAGAGGAGCTTTCTAGTTTGGTTCAGGATGGAAGAATGGTGTTTCCTCCCCAGTTGCCTTAATTTCCCTCTTGAAGTAGCAGTCTGGGATGGCTCCTGACTCCAAAAAGGCAAAAACTTCCTTCCCTGTGACAGAGTGGGGGAAAAGGGAAAGGAGCAGCCAGGGACTGGCTGTATTTGTCAAAGTCTGACAAGCCCTACTGCCACAGCACCAGGACAGCTCTCAGGCTTCCAGACAGGGTAAAGCACCAGCCCCCTTTGGTTTCCTATGTAAGACGAAAATAGGTCAATAATGACGAGTAAGAGGCCTATTTTTATACTGCTTTAAAAAGTCAGTAGTTTAGCAAGTTAAGACCTTGTAACAGTAAAACACCCATCACACTTGGCAGGCCAATGGGCAGCAGGGCCTACAGTCAGTTTTGCTGGCCCCTCCTCCTGGAGGAAATCCTCAGGGTAGAAGAATGGATTTGGCAGAGACCCCCTTGGGGAGCAGCTCTGTATGCACCAGAAGATGCTGTAAACCCAGCCCACCTGGGTGTCTAGCAGCCTTTTCCCCATTATGCATTGCTGTCTTCACTGGTGGAACAGGACAGCCTCCACATCCATCCAATGACTGAAATAAGTGCAGGCTCCAGTAAGGAGCCCCTGCAAACTGGAGCCTCAGGCAGATGGGTGACTGCTTCTGGACCTGAGAAGCCTCTTTTCCCACATCTTTGGGAAAGGAGATAACACAAGCGACCCCTTGCCTGCACAAGGAATGGCTTCAGCGTAGTCTGAGCAGAGTTTCTCTGGGAAGTCTGTCCATCCAGGCCTGCTCTTCATGGAGTGTAGGAAACAGGGAGGAGCAAAGGGATCGAGAGGAATTCTGTGGCCTCCCTGGTTTTGCTCTTGGCAGAGTGCATGTCTGTGTGTGAGGAGCCTTCAGTTATGGGTTTTGGCTTCATTTAGAGTCCAGGAGATCAGGAATGCAGGGAAACGACTGCTGGTTGACCAGCAAGAACAGCAACTCCAGTGTCTGATTTCCAGTATGTCCAGAAGGAATTCCAGTGCTTCTGCATTGAAAAGCGCTCCAGTGTTGACAACAAATTCCAGTGTTGCAGAGAGCTGCTGCATTGCTTCAAAAAGCAATGGGCCCACTCAGGCTGGAGTTGCCAGCCATGCTGCAGTCACAGCTCTGAGGGGCTGGGATAAACCCGTCCACGCATGATCCAGTGTAACACTCTTAGATCCAGTGTTGTAAGGGAGGGAGCAAGCGAGGAGGGAAA